CTAGTGCATACATTTATCCCTTTATTAACTATTCATTCAAGAAATATTGACCGAATGAATACCTGATACTCTGTGTTAATCCTGATTTCTTCCCTCAGGTGGTTTATGGCCTAGCCAAGCAGAGACAAATAACATGTACAAAAATAACATTAAACATGAACATGTCAGAGGTGCATGGTTTAGACAATAATAGGGTGGAATTCCATAGGAATTGGCTTTTTTTTTAAAGATTTTATTGGGGAATTGGGGAAGGGGGACAGCCAAGTTGTTGTCCTTCGATCTTAGTTGTGGAGGGCGCAGCAAGCTCAGCTCCCAGTCCAGTTGCCATCCTGTCACCTGTTGGCAGCTCAGCAGCAGCTCAGCTCGGGCGCAGCTCACTGGTTCACGTGGGAATTGAACCGGCGTCCCTGTTGCTCAGAGCTTGCGCTCTTAACCAACTGAGCCACTCGGCCAGCCCCCAGGAAATGGCATTTAAAGTCAAGACTTGAGGGATAAATTGGAAGTAGTGAGGCAAAATGGGGGAAGAAGCAAGAAAGCAAAAACTCACAGACAAGGAATAACAGCACAGCAGCTTTGAGGAACAAAAAGTGGTTTGACACGGCTTTAGGCTGGGAGAAGAGAAAGTGTTGAGAAAGGATGCTAGAAAGGTGCATATGCCCAGGGCTCCCTGGGCCTCGTAAATCAATTATAGCCTCTATTCAAGAGCAATGGGAAACCAGGGAGAATTTTAAGCAAAGAGGCAACATAATGAAATTTACCATTTAGAAAGATCATGGTGGCTGCTGTTTGGAGTATGAATTGGAGGGGAAAGAGTGAAAGAAAGATTAGTTAAAAGCCTCAAACTTGGGAACATGGCTATGATGGTTGTTGACATGGGAGCAGTCCCACTCAGGTGGGGAAGAACCATCCCACCAAGTCCAAAGATCTCAACATCCCTCCTCCTCTCAAAGGAACGGCAAGTTCTTGGCTGACACTCAGAGTGGGCACAGGATGTTCTCTGACTC